CCCCAAAACCCCAAAACCCCAAAACCCCAAAACCCCTTTACATTGCACATAAGTGGAAAAAATCAGGAATTAATAATATTTATTTTAATGGAGAGTTACTCGACCGGGTCTAGTGACGACTACAACGGAGACACCCAAGGGCTTATGGACAAGACTAACAAGCGCGCCGTCCCTCTCAGCTTTGTGGAGACTATAGTTGACATTTATAACAATATCGCACAGATTGAGTTCCTACAGTACTATGTTAATGACAAAGATGACCCTATTGAAGCTGAGCATGTTTTTCCAATCCATACTAGCTGCACCTTGACCTCGTTCAAAGCTTATGTTGGTGATGAAGTTCTTGAATCCAAGGTTGAAGAGAGAAGCTCAGCTAAACGCTTGTACTCGACTGCTGTTCAGAAAGGAGAGACTGCTGCCATTGCCCATCCTTTTCCTAAGACTAATGACATTATGGAGATCCAACTAGGAAACATACCTCCTAACGTCCCTATTATACTCTCTTGCATTTTCCACCAAGTAATGGAGGTGGAAGATCTCAGCTGGAAACTTCATATTCCTAGCAAAATCTTTCCTCGATATGTTGGGGATGTCCAAAATTACATCGAAAAAGGAATTAACTTAAAGGGTATGGTAAAGAATATGTACCCAGACACTAAAGCTGATAGACAAGAACATCATATTGACAGATTATCTTCCTTATACTCTTCTAATGATTTCCAATGGAATCTAGATATTAAGATCCACTCACAGAGTCCCCTCACTCGCATTGTCAGTCCTACTCACCAGATTGAAACAAAATTTAGTGATGATAACAATCAAGAAGCCCATATTATGCTTTCTCCATCAGAAGAGAACTTACTTTTTAAGAAAGACTTCAAGATCCTCTACAGGAACCATGAGATCAACAAACCAACTGCCATTATGCAAAAGAAAGATAACCTCTATGTTCTGATGGTATGCATGCTTGCCGACTGCACTCCAGAGAAGGAGTTTGATGAAAATAGAGAAGAGATGTATAAAGATATTGACCTTGACCCTGACGTAAAGTATAAGGAAAAGATATAGAGATCCAGACAGATCCTCCTCAGTTCACTTTTGTTCTTGATTGAAGTACATCAATGCGAAAGAAAAGAATAGTTATAGCAAAAGAAGCTCTTACATTATATATTAGAAGTCTTCCTCCTCGTTGTGAGTTCAACATCCTTTGCTTTGGAGGCTCTCATAAATTTATGATGTCAAGCTACCAAACTTATAATGATGAAAGCGTAAAAGAAGCTATGAGAATAATCGATGGAATTAAAGCTAATAATTTCGGAACTGAGCTTTATTCATGATTTGAAACTTTGTTCTCCTCTGGTAATGTGAACAAATCTCTTCAAAATCATGTTGTACTTCTTACTGATGGTCTTGTAGCTAATCCAGAATGTTGATATGAACTTATAAAAGAAAATTCTGATCAATTTACCTTGAACACATTTGGAATTGGTTCTGGAGTCAGCACAGACTTCATAAGGAAGTGTGCAGAGGCGGGAGGAGGAAAATATTACCTGGTTGACAATACTTGTTCCACTTTAAAGGAAAATGTCATAAATTGTCTTTCAGGTTCATTTGAAGAAAAGATAACTGTTTCCAAAAAAAATATAGCAACGATAGGAAATGATCTTTATGAATACCCAAAGCTAGAAGAAATTGAATGAAGCATGGCTCATGGAAGCTATTTCACTTATTACCGGATTATTGACACTCGTGGCAAGCCATTAAGAGGAGGTATTTCATTCTATGTTCAAGAGAAGAAGAATGGAGAAGAAAATGACATTTATCTTGAAGTCAACAATGATGTGAAGATGATTGATGGAGATTTTATCTTCAAAATGTTCTGTGATCAATATATTAGAGGAAGTGACAAGCTGGCATTGGGAAGAGATGTGATAGTAGAAATGTCTTTGAAGTTTCAAATAGCTAGTGGATTCACTTCAATGATTATCGTCGACTCTGAGAACTTAGTCAAGCAGTACAAACAGGCTATAGAAGAAGTAAAGAAAGCCGACAATTTTGATTTTTCATCAGCTCCTAAGATATCTGATTCAGATGCTGATAGGAACATGCCAATAACTGTAGCGACCCTCGCTGGAGATAGGACTCATATTATGTGTTCTGAAAATAATACTGTTGAAGAATTATTTAATGAGATTGCTTGAAAGAAGAATTGAGATCCTAGTATTTTGAAAGTGTCATTTCGTTCAAAGCAATTACGAAATGATAAAGGTACCACTCTTGGAGAGGCTGGTTTTAAACCAAACACCGAAGTTTTGTTAATCCCGAGGCTTACTGGAGGAGGGTTTCCTTTATGTGTTAAGTCTAGAACAGAAATAGAGTGAGATAAATTAGTTGGAATGCAAAGCTATGATGGGTCATGGGGGTCTGCGATCAAAAGGTTTGGGAATTTCCATCTTGAACATGCGATTCAGAATTTACCGAGAGAAGTTAGAGATTTGCTTGCTGAGGACAAGATTGAATCTATTTTGTATACTTGGCTGGCATTGAAAATTATCGATGAGTACTTTTCTGATCAGAAAGATGAGCTTGAGTTGGTCATCAGAAAGGGAAAAGATTATATTTTTGTCATTACCAATGGGCATTTGGATTACGAAGATATAAATGAGAGTATTCACTTTATGTAATAATCAAATCATATTTGAGTGATTCAAAGGCAACCTTCTTGTGAAGTGTATACCCTTAAAAATCACAATAAGTGCTATAATGCACAGAGAAATGCAGACATAATGTATTTTCTCATATTCAATCACCTGAGCAAGGAACGGGGTTTTGGGGTTTTGGGGTTTTGGGGTTTTGGGG